GTATGTAGGGAAGCTGAAAAGTTACTAAGTTATCCCAGATACAATTCCCAGAGCCAGAATTGCTTGCACACTCATGCATTTGTCTAAAATTTGATACACTTCAGTGGGTTTTTTAAAATCTTTTTTTTTTCCACATTCAGTCCCAGAACCAAATGAAAAGAGTTATGAAAAGTTTGAACTATTTCAATAATTGGAAAATAGTGTCCCTAATGATGAGTGGTTTGAAGTTTCCTGGAGCATTTTTGTACTCTTTTTTTTTGTAAGAACTGGGTTCTGGAAACTAGTCAAGTATAGGATCCAAGACATATTGAAGCCATTTAAAAGCCTGTGTTCTATAAATGTAGGTTTTAAGGAATGTGTAAAGTGGGAGTGGTTGCAAGAAACGTTTAAGAGATTTAAATTTTAAAAAAACAAAGCAAATTAAAACAGCATGAACTGGTAGAGAGAAAATAGTATGTTAGGAAACGTTGCAAAATAATAGGATAATCCTGTGAAAAAGTCACTGCACTTGAAAAAAGAACTTTAAAAGCTCTCAGTCATGTATTACAATTGTTAAATAAGTAAATCTTGCAATATGCAGGCAGAGTTATTAGATGCACTAGCGAGACTGCTGCAGTGGCTGTACTTAGGGAAGAACTCAGAGAAATTTGGCCCTGTGAATGGTGTGTGGGTCATGAGAAGGATGACCTCTGCCTGTCTCTGTGTCAGGGTCTGCCATGGAAACCCAGGCATGTCCACATCTCTCAGTGGTGCTGCTCCCATGTAGTGGGTTCAAGAACTATAATGCACAGCAGTCAGCCAGATAATTTCTGTGCTCTTTAGCAGATGGCTCCAAGACCACAGCTGGAACAAGGCTGCCTCTGCATCTCTTCATCCCAGCCCAACACAAATGGGCTACATTTTAAAAGCAAACACAGCTTGCTGTTGCTTTGAATCTCATTAATTCATGTTGAGGTATTCAGCCTGTGGGGAAGCTGAGGGTAGAGTGCATGTGCCTCACATGTCCATATGCACATGCCCCTTCTCCTCCAGGATTTTGGGAAAAGGTGAAAGGCTGCAGTTCTCTGACTTCCCTCTTTGCTAAATGGTTTTGTGCCTGGACGAGAGAGGAGGAGACAAGTGTGTGTTGTCCGAGTTTTCATCTTACCCTCTTCAAAGGTACAGATATCCTGTGTGTGTAACCAAACCACAGACAAACCAGTGCAAGCCCTGATTGTGCTGTGGACGTGCAGTGGGTTTGGCAGAGCAATTGGGCCATAGCTGAGGCATCATCCCTCCATGGCACTGAAACATGTGTGTCTACCCAAACACTGCCAAGTGGTGTTTTAGGGTCCACAGAGGGTGATTCAGAAAAGCTAGGAAGGCTAATGTTGTGGGAGAGGTTCAGCTAAAGGCTTTTGGAGCTACTTCATGTCTTACATTCTCCTGTTCCTGAAATGGGCTTATTATAGCCAAGAACATGCTGCAGGAGCTGTCCTTGGTCAGTTTTCTTCAGCACCCTAAAATATTCTTTGTTACTTCTACCAAATAACTGTGTTACTGCAGTTGGAGAAATAAAACTCAGTTTTGCTCAGCATTCCATTGTCAGAATTTGCTCAGAATCCCTCTGTCAGAATTTCTTATGCATAGTTATTACCCTCATTTAGTAACATGTATAGAGATACTAAGTGTTTTCTGCAGTGTAAATGTGCCTTCCACGGTATGAATTAATACACTGATTCAAGTGGCATTAAAATGAAAAGCTGTTTTGAACAGTTACGTGCATTGGACAATAACTGTGATAAAAACAATTTTGTACAAATTGCTCAGAGGATCGCACCACTGATTGAGGGGAAGCTCTCCCTGGCACATTAGGTCCCAGAGACTGAGCCTGGGACAGGGGGCCCTAATTGTCTGCTGCTGTTGCAGGTTGGCTTTGCACAGCTGAACAGCTCAGGTCTGTTCCAGGAGCTGCTATGTCTTCTTTGTCCTCTTCGTGCTGATCAGAGTCCAGAAGTATTACTCGACCAATGGTGCAACAGAAGTGGGGTGAATAGTGTTGAGTCATTAACTATTATTGACTAATCATTTATTTCAGCTTTAGAAGCATTTGCAAAGAAATTATAGATATTGCCATATTTCACAGTCAACAGCTGTTCTTCTTGCCAGGCAGACAGTAAGTCAGAAAACATAATTTTACCTTGCAGGTATCAAGCATGCCGTTAGTGCCTGGGAAGGGTTCCAGAACAAAAGATTGACACTGGAGCTGATAGTGTCTGGCTGCCCTCTGTGGAGGGAGAACAGTAGGTCTCAAGGGGCAGCCCAAAGTCATGTGAGGTATAGCAGGTCATAATTACCATGAAATCTGGCTGGGCATTGAGTTGGACTACATGCTCAATTTAATCATCTTTATGATAATAGATGTAGGAATTACTTGGTCAAAATCAGTCAAAGATGTTGTGCAGGCAGTTGGAGTAGCAAAGTGTTTCTCTTCCTTTGCAAGCTGGTGGTCTTAACATTGAAATAACATTTTTACTGGCTTCCTGTGGAACTCCTTATGTGGAGTGACTGTGTGTGGGATGAGGATCTTTGCAACTGTGGGTTTTGTACAGAAATTCCTTATGCTCAAAGGAGAGTAGCATGAGGGCAGACTGTGAATGGGGTTTTCTTCTTGTTAAATGATAGTAGGTTTTCCACTGCTTCTTAACCACATTTGATTACCCTCCACTTTTTTTTAAGAAACAGGACCAAGACAACATAATGTTCTGTATTGGCTACTCCATGAGTGGAGTCCTGAAGCACATTTGAAATATGATATGGATGTTGCCAGGAATAGAAACCTCTCCTGGGAAATGAATGCCACTACTCATCAGTGTCTATCCAGCAAGTGTACTGTGACTTTTTGTTTCACAAGAGCATAACTGGAATCACCACAGCTTATACTTGCGCATTCAGAAACTTTGCCTAGAAAATGTATGTATGTAACAACGAAAGTTTTAGGGGACAGTCACTCTACAACTGCCAGATATAATGCAAAAAGTTGATGTGAAAATGAGTTGATCCGTCAGCTATGATGAGTTGTGTGCTCTTTTCTGAGAGTTGGATTATTGTAATTCAGAAATGTCAGTTCTGGACTGGTCATAGTTGGAGAAGGGCACAGCTATCTAGCAATCCACTGAGAATAACATTACTCCATTAGCTGGCTTCATCCTTAAGACTCTTGTGATGTAAGTCAATGATTTTAGCTTTAATTATATATCTTGTCCTGTTTTTTATATTTGAGAGAGGGAGTAACTGCCCCATACCACACCACCCTCACTAAAGCCAGTACATCCTGTTCTATTTATTAAATCTTTTCAAGGTGAGGTCACACTTTTTAAAATTGCCCTCAAGTTCTGAGAGTTACAGACTTAGATTCTGCTCTTTCCTCCCACTTTCGGAGGAATTCCCTCTTCCATGCAAATGCAGCTCCGCTGATCTGCGCATGGAGGTCTGACCCCATCCGCTGTTCCAGTTGTCCCTGTGGGTAGTGCAGTAACTGCTCTGTAGGTGCAGTTCTTTCACTCTCCTCTGGAACCCATTGGGTATAAAGCCTGCTGAAGGCTGGGAAGCAACAATTCAGACTGTGAATACTGACATCTTGTTTCCTCTGGTCTGATGTGGAAGAAAGTGCACCGGGCGCTGCAGGGGAGGACATCTATCGTTGCATGAATACTTTTACTTCATGAAAAGGAACATCAGCAGGATGGTGGGAAACTTTCTGCTTGTGAGCAGAAGGATGGCTCTCCCTTATAAAGACTAAGCTTTTGAGACCTACAGTGGTCAAAAAACACCACTGGTCCAGCTTCACCAAGAGCTGTGCTCTGAATCTCTCATTGAACACTTTTTTCCACATGAATCATTTCATGAAAACTGAGGGGCTACTGTGGAACATTCTGCACAATGACCTTGGGTTCAGTAATTAAGTCTCAAAATTTGTGCTGCAAAAATCTTTCAGTGACGAATAACAAAGGGGAAGAATATTTTATTTTACACTGGGTGCTTGTCTGGCAGTAGTTGTAGGATGTGATCCAAACCCATTGAATGTCAGTGATTATCTTTCTGTTCACTTCAGCGGAGCTGACCTATAGGAGCACTTTGTTGTGGTTCATCCTTATTAGTCAAGTTTAGTCTGGCAGTGCCTAGGGGTGAGCCTAGGATGGCTCTGCTCTATTATTCAGGTACAAAGGAGGCCGTCTGGGCTTGTGCTTTAAACAGAGACATCAACAGAGCAACCAACTATCAAAGCTTCCCACTGATTGGGAAGGGGCAACAAGAGAGAGGGAGAGAAAAATTAAAAGCTTGGAGCCTTGGTATTGGGAAAAAGAGATGGCAAAAGAAGACATCCATCAGTGTTGATATTCCCCTGCAGTGGCTTGTGAATGGTTTGTCTTAGCAATTGCTGGCCAATTGCCATTGTCTCTGTACCCCAGACTCACTGTATGTGCATTCAGGTAACCTCTGCATGGTCTCAGGAGAAGAAGTTAACTGAGGACCTAAGCACCTGATCCTGATCTCAACAGCCTTAAAGGGTTTATACACCTCTCAGTTAACATGTGCTGAAGTGCTTTGTTAGTCTGGTGTTAGGTGCTTCTGAGCCTGGAAGGGCAGAGGGAGAGTTTTATACTAACTAGGCTCTCTGAAGAAACAGAAAGTGTTTGTGATTGGTGTAGCCAGTCTGGAGTACACCACAAACACCAAATTAATTTAATTTGAAAGCTCTGAATTAAATCTGTTTACTGTGATGGAGCCTCCCACAATTCCCCACCTTCTTTTTGTTTCCTGGTATATTTTCATCTGGGAAAGCTGCAGTGTGAATGTGTTCTCCGTGCTCAACTGAACAGCAATACTGCTGCATTTTTTGGTATTATTGTTTAAAAGGAAACATCATTAGCTTCTCTCCCTTGCTCCTTTAGATTGCCTTGCATTCCTGTTTAGGTCTTAACCAAAAGCTACTTACCTCCCTGTTCTTACCCTTTCAGCTTCTTCAAATGCGATGACTCAGCAGCTACAGGATGAATTTGACAGTAGCGTGGAGAATGCAGAAGCTTGGATGAAGGCCATCCAAGAGAGACTGAGGATCAATGACAACACCAAAGGACCTCGATTTGCCCTAGAAGCCAGACTGAGAGAAACTGAGGTAAGGGGAGAGTAACGTAACCATTCAGAGGTGGCAGTCACTTGCTGCTGTTGTTAGAGCCGTTATTACTGTGAGCTCTGGAGTTTTCCATTAAGAAATTGTCAGCTGCCCCTGGTTTTTGGAGCATTGTTGCTGCATGGATGGGTTCACATCAGTATTGTTTCTAATTTTTTCCATCTGTAAAATGTTTACAGACATAGAAAAAGAGGATGGCAGTTTAATATCACAGGCTTCCAAGACTAGCAGTGGGTTTGGCAGGTTAAAATGTTTACAGTGTTCTATGAGCATGCTCAAACCTGAAACAGTTTCGTTGCTGCTTGCAATTACCATAGTAATTTGCTGAAGACCAGCAGGTAGTATAAGAGAATCAGATCACGTTGGTGTTTCATCTCCTCCAGGACTCTGGCACTGAGAGGGAAATACTGCAGTGTCCTGGTAATGGCTGTTCTAGAGTAATCCCTTTATCCTTTTTCATAAACCCTGATAATAAGATGGTTTACTGGTCCCCTTTGTCTTCTCTCTAATGAAAAGGTAAATGTTTTCATTTTTTCCTGGTTTTACTTAATCTCTTGTATAACTCTTCTCACGGAGATCCTGTTGCAGATTATACCTGCTCTCTTACTGTGATTTTGCATTCATTAACTTCAGTCTCATTAGATGTTATCTAAATCTTGTAATCTCAGAGAAGGAAACACTCCTGTTTGTCCCATCTCTACATGATTAAAGGGAGTGGTGATATTTCTGTGATTAACACTGAAACTAATTTTTATACCTTTATTACCTTTAATCCCAACTAGTCTGTTCTTTAAATGGCAAAATCTTTACCAATTGTCATTTACCCAAAAGTCTTTTGTGTGTGTGTGTCTGCTCATATTTGGCCTGTCTCTTCTGAAGTTTAACAATTAAAAAAAACCTGCAGGCATACATAGAGGACGAGGTACTTTACATGATGGTGCAGTGACATCTTCAGCCTTTTTACTTAACTGTGGTTTACTGGAGGATGGATCTTGCCTCTGTTGTATTATGGAGGCTGTTCATGGAGTGGTAGGTGGTAGCTAGACTTGCATGTCGGTCATGAATATCTGAAGCATTTCCTCTGGATCTATAGTTTTATTGTTCTGCCCTTAAGTTGTAGTCACCCTTTCCTTTTGTTTGGGAAACTGTAATGTGTAGTCTCAAAAAACAGGCAAGAAACACAGGAACTTGAATAGAAGAGTGGTAGTTTGGAAAAGGGGGTGCATTCGTGACAGAGATAAGAAGTAAGGTCTAGAGGTTTGTGGTGATTTGATATGGCCAGAACCAAAGCCTGTTGACTTTTCTGGGCTCTAGAGGAGACCTGTAACATGCAAAAAGTCATGTTAGGAGATTTTTTCAATTCAGACTTTGGAAATTCATCATTCTAAAGGTTAAAATGTGTCTGTTTTCTCATCCTGTGTGTGCTTTAACCACCTCCTGCTCCTTCGTTCTGCCTCCTCCCTGGGCTTGGCTTCCCCCTCCAGCTCATGTGTCCTTGTGATATGCCTGCTGCTTCACTATTGGCTGTTTTCAAATCCAGTGATCAATTTTCAATTCCTTTTTTGCATCTGGCTTGTCAGTTTTTTTCATACTTCCTTCCTGTGGTTTATTTTCAGTTAATTTGTTAATGCAAATGCCAGCCAATGATAGCAATCATGGAGAAAACAGATTTGAAAAAGAAAAATTACTGTACAGCCACTACTTTCTCTCTGGCTGCTGTTTGCTTTCTATTGCTTGAAAAATGTCAGGCTTAGAAAACGGCTTTACTTTTAAATTTTTCCTGCTGGATGATGGCTCTGGCTTGTATTTTCTTTCTTTGCCCTACCCTTTGCCGTGCTTTCCTGGATTCTATTAATCACACTTTTCATAGTAGATAAATTGTCCAAACACCTGTTTGTACGTCACATGCAGGTGTGCTGTGTACATGCCAAAAGAACAGTCTTTTCCCAGAATGTGAGACTGGAAATCCAAAGGTCTTTTATTTGGTCTCACCTTTGCAATAACTGACATGATTTTTTTTTAACAAGTCCCATAGGTCTCATTTTTCCAGAAGTAATTGCTGATTTTGAAACTCTCAGTGTTTTTGTTATAGAAGCCTTTTCCTTCAAACTCAAAAGCCTGCAGTTTTCCAGGAGTTTATGGAAGAATACAAGAAAAGCTAATCTGATGGTATCAGAAGTTTGGATACCGTGATGTTGAAAGCTGACATCCAAATTGGAGCATAATTAATCTGTTATATTGAACAGAACTTGTTCTTTTTTTTCCATTTCTGGATAGAGGAAGACAGTCTTTAAATTAGATGACTCAGTTTCAGTTCCTGGCATTCCTATTTGTGCAAGATGCACATTTTCACCAACTTGTAATTTAGCAATTTAGGGTCAAAGTAAAACTTGGTAGCAGGCAGAAAATTCCACTAGTTAATTTCTCCTGGCTTGTTTTCTAAGCCAACTTTTATTTGGACTAGGAAGCCTTTTTAATATGCTTTATGATTTCTTGTATTAGGCCTTAAAATTGAAATGTTACAGTGTACCCTGTGGAGATTGGCTCTACGTGCTTTGGCAGGGGGGGAGGAACAGCTGGCATGTGGCAACAGTGCTATAATTTCTAACAGCAGTGGAAACACAGCCATAGGCATTTCATAGAATATTGTATGTTTTTTCTAGCTAACTTAAATGCTTTTCAACTGCTTTTGTGGCTTTAAATTCATTTCTTTAGAATGTTTAAGAATAAACAAGTCTGAGGAAAAGCTGATATTTTTCTTTCAGAAGAAGCTTTGCAGCAGGGAGTCAGGTGAGAAGTGTTAATTGTCAGTGTTGTATAGAAACATTTCCATCCCACCCTAGTGTTAGGTTAGCGATTGGACTTAATGATCTTAGGGGTCTTTTCCAACCTAAACAATTCAATGAGTTCATGATTCCTGGGTAAAACCAAAGTTTACATTTCATCAATTATGCTTGCTTTCTTTTCACGCTTTCAGTTATCATTTGTTTTTCTCATAGAAAATACGTGCACTGGAACCAGAAGGCAGCTTGAAAATGGACTTGATTCTTGTGAAGGCAGACGCTGCTCTTCGCAGCATCAGTGAGGATAAGAAGCATGAGGTACTATCTAAACTGAGAGACATTAAAGCCTTGTGGGAAGAGACAGCCATATACATTACCCATTGTCACAGGTAAGACAAACATACTCTTTGGTGTGCTGAGGCAGTTGTCTCATCCCGTGCTTTCTTAAAACACTTCCTGCCTCTCTCTTCTACCTGGATTGTAGATAGAAATCCCTGCTAATAATCCCAGACCCATGAACATTTTGGGGACTGTGTGGGGAGAGAGGGTCAGTGGCACCTCAATGCTCTGCCTTCACAGCCTGGCCCAAACACCTCATCGTCTGGTTTAAGGAGTTTGGTCAGGCACAGGGACCTTGCATAAAGTATTTCCTCCCCAAAGGAGGGAAGGCCTGGGAAGTGAATCCAGATCCTGTGAAATCAGAGCAGCTTAAAATTGCTGAGAACCTTGTCCATTGCTTTGAAGGCCTTATGAGCTTGTTGGTCTCCACTGCTCCCATCTTCATTTGATCTAACTCATCTCTCCTGCTCTCCCAACAGCCGTATTGAGTGGGTCTGGCTGCACTGGAGCGAGTACCTGAAAGCCGAAGATGAGTTTTACACATGGATTCGCAACATGAGGGTGACCTTGGAGCCTGACATTGAGTTGCAGCTTGGCTTAAAGGAGAAGCAGTGGCAGCTGAGCCATGCTCAGGTTCTGCTGAATGATGTCTTAAATCAGTCGGTCCTGCTGGAAAGGCTGCTAGAGGAAGCTGCTTCCTTGTTCAGCAGGATAGGTGACACCAGTGTTGATGAGGATGCTCAGAAGAAAATGAGAGTGGAATATGAAGGAATCAGACAAGAAGCTCAGGTACACTTACAAAGAGTGGGAGGTGCTCAAATCACAGCAGTATTTATACATTTCACCATAGAGTGTTGTTTGCTATCTGCTCCTTCAGTGGTGGTGCTTGGTAGAACAGCAAAAGGAAACAAAGCCAAGGATTCCTGTTCTTTCAGTCTCGACTGTTTGCAACAGTTGTCAAGTTCCAAGATGAGCTGTTAATTGGGATGCTCTTACACAGTGCCATACAGTATGTTGGAAAGTAACTGCAAGATGCTTGCTGTGTCCTAGTAAATGTTGCTTTAGGCCGTCTCTGTATAAAGTTTGAATTGTTCCTCATCTTTCAGCACATTAGTGATTTTTGTATAACCAGATGCAAAGTACCCATTCCTGGAGCCAGGGAATATTACATACACGCACCCTTGTTGGAGGAAGTAACATTCACCCCGATCCAGAGCTGCACTCCCTGCCTGCAGAACTGGGAGACATGGAGCTGGGAGTCAGCTGTGGCCCAATGCTTTGCTCAGCTAGCCATTTCCAGTATCTGAAGGATTTTCATGCACACAGATACTAGTTCTTGCCTGATGCTAATCTTCCAGTTTGAACAGTCATTAGATAGGCTGGTATAAGACATTTTACTTAATCTTTCAGTACCAGTGATTTCCTTTGACCCTATTCCTGAGTGAAGATTTCAGAAAAGGCTCATACTTTTCACTTCTAAAACTCAGGTAAAGGTAGGACTAGACCATGTGGTATGGCTAAGGGGCAGACATCTGTGAGTGGGTAGAGGAATTCAGTTTCTTACTAACAAATCAATAGAAAGACTTAAAGGTATATTTTAAATATATGTATAGACATATATCTCAAACACAGAAATTAAAACCTGTTTTTTGTCGCACAGTGGCTTCCAGGATTTCGTAGTCTAGAGTTACCTGATGCAAATACAAATAATTTTCATTACATTAGTTCTGCTATCTGCCTCTGTTATAATTCTGCCTTCTATTTATTCGTACACCTGAGTCTAGAACTGGAGCCTGACAGAGATGTATGCTTTCCCTTCCTGGGTGCTGTCATACAAAGTTAACTTCAGATCACACTGGAAGAACAACATTGGGATACTCATGCCATTTCCCCCTCTACAGATATTTTTAATGAAAAATACCCCAAACCTCTAAACAACAAAAAAATTCTGAGCTGACACCTTTTTCGAGCATGAAATTCAGATTTTTTTTGCCATAAAGATACAATTCCTGCTAATGTCTCTCCAAAATCTAGAGTATATTTTGAAGTTCTGTAACTGCAGCTTCCACAGAGAAGCCATCAACAGACTTTAGCCTCTACATTGATTATTTATTTTTGAAGGTTGATCTTGATTTCAAGGCAACTGGTTTTACAAATAAGGTTTGTGGGAATTTAGGTGTTGTCAATCTAGATTGCCATTTAAAATTCTCATTCACTCCCTCCTAACCAAGATTTGTCTTTGGTTTTGAAGCAGGAGACAGTCATTATTTATTTTAATAAGGCTGTTCCTTCAATCAAGTAATTTGAATACTCAAAGCCTGAATTTGACCTGTCTGAGACTGGTTTTACAGAGTGTGATTTGTCTAACCGACTTGGATACATGATGGTGTAAATGAGATCAGGAAGTGGCTCATCGTTGTTAGACAAAATATGTCTTTATGTTTCCAGCCAACTGAGACACGAGAAAAAGCTTTTCTTTGGCACTCATATTTGGTTATAAATAGCACATTTCTAGAAGGATGGAGTGAGAGAATCCAGTTAAGAAATCCCTCTTTCAGGAGGTATGGAACAAAAAAGGGAGTTGTGAAGCCTTGGATTTTTCAACCAAAGTAAAGACAGAGTCCATTATCTAATGCCAAGGTTACAGGCACCTTGGGAATCGTGTTGGAAAGTATAACACTAGTTAGAGAAACCCTGACATCTCTTCTAATAGGCGGGAAGAATGAATGAAAGAGATGCAGAGCTGTAAGGAGATTGCCCCCGCCCCTCACATGATGTACATGCTAGCTGAATGCCTGAGCTGCCTCCCAGAGGAGGCTCGCTGGTGTTTGTAGATTACACTTGTGTTTGAGGAGCATTTTTAGATCCTGTGCAGTTGTCCAACTCTATCAGAAGGCAGGCTTTTGGTCAGTGTTTATTAAATAGTTTGTCTGTGATATTGTTTCTCTGGTATGAGCAAATGGTGGGTGTTTTTTTTGTTGTTTGGTTTTTTTTTCTTAGTACTAACATGTGTTCTTAATATTTCCAAATTTTAAAAGCACATACTTTTCTTTTAATTGCATTGATGGGAATATTTTTAGATGTGGAAGCCGTTTCCTCTGTGCTTTCCCTTGCCCAGTAATTTACCATATGCAGAGGCAGATGACTGTGGGTTTTAGTGTAAATGGTGTCTGAAGATGGTAAGAAAAGTTGATATACAGTATGTTGATATTTAGGCAAATATATAAAATATTTCTGAGCACAACAAATTAATTTCAACCCATGTTGTCTCTGTTAACTGAAACCTAGATAGTTATAATGGGTTTGCTCAGGTGCCCTAGAGCTAAGACTAAAAGCACCAGGAAAGGCTACAGGAGCTTTCTGTACTTTACTTGAGAAACCACAGAGTTTAAAACAGGAACTTCCTTTATGTGGTCTAGATTGCCTTCTGGAGGAGGCTCATTTGCTTTTGCTGACTGTAAGGGGATCTGAGGGGAGACGATTTCCTTATGCCTTTATCCACCTTCCTTGAGTACCCAGGGCTGGGCATATCCTGCTCAGACACATTTCTTTCTCTGCAGCCCGTGGTAAACCCATTCTTTTCCTCTCGGTGCTTTCACTCTTTCCAGGGCCAAGTCCTTCATAATGTCTCCTCATGTTAACCTAGTGCATGTGGACGTTGAGTTTCACAGTCCTGCTCCTGGAACAGCTAACCTAATAGGAGCAAGTGATACCATATTTTCCATCATTGGAAAGTTTTTCTGCTTAACCTCTTGGGGGACTGACTCAGCCACCTCTTTGCAAGCCTTTTGTCTGACAACTTGCAGTCTGTCCAGATCCATGGCATCTCATGGACCAGCAGTACACCCAAATTGTGAACTGCTTTGTTTTGGCTGAACAGCCTTGGCCAAGGGTGGGTCATTTTGACTTCCTTTTAACCCCCCTATGTATTAGCATAAGATTTTTGAGCTTAATATCTACCCTTTGTTATTCTGATTTACACCCTTCAGAGCTTCTATCAGTGCAACAAATTAACCATAATTCTGCCTTTTGGACTCATCCAAATCCATGTATGGGTGGTGCAGCATTTCATCCTCCATGGGAAGCAGTTGTCCCTTAGCTGTCACTCTTTTGTCACACAGTGAGTCAGCTAACTTTAGGGGAATTACTTGTCATTTGCACAAGTCACCAGAGACTGCAGTGGCAGCACAGACACCAGTGTTGTGCCCCTTGCAGAGTGGTGGCTTTGTACTGTACCATGGGCTCAACCTGTCCCAAGGGTGAACAGCAAAGTCCCAGAGTGACCAAAACCCTCAGCACATGGGAGATCCTATGGTGACTGATGGTTATGCCATCCTCCTGTTTTCCTGGCTGGAGAATAGGCTGACAGAGTGGTGATGGCTCACTGCCACCTCAGTCAGGTTGAGAGGTGTGGGGACATGTCCAGAGCGTCATAGACACAAGGGAAATGCAGAGGGGACTTCGCAGCTCTGCCCACCATTGCAGCTGTCACTCTGCTCCTCTCTCTGGAGGGCAGCTGCGAGGGAGCTCTGCTCAGAGGCAAGTGATGTGTCCTATATTACACAAAATGAAACTTGTCCCATTGTCTGCGACAGCAAAGCCTTTCAAGGGTGCTGCAGGCTCTAATGGATTGCACAAGGAAAGAGTTCTTTTTTCCTAATGTACCCGTGGTGTAGCTCAATTGCGATCTATGCCAACTGGTGAAGGGCAAGACAAAATCAATCCGATCTTCCAGAAAATAATACTTAAGTTGGATATTCTACTAGTGAAACAACAGAGCAGGATTCCTTGTGATTCATGTCAAAATCAAAAAGGCTTGAACTTCAGCTGGTAAACAAGTCTAGTCTGAGCAAACGTGACTCTGTCTTCTTGTGAGGAGTGCCAGACTGGATCAGCAGGGAGCAATCTTTGATGTGCAGGCCCCTGTAAATTCAGGAACTGCTGATAATAGGGTGCACACACAGTAACTTGGAAAATGAAGCCTGCTTTCCATAGGCTTGAAGTTGCTTCCAGAGTCAGTGATACCACCACAGAGTAGTTTGTAACCTGCTAAGTGAGTAAGTGTGAGCGTGCCTGGACTACACGATTGAAGGTGATGGTCATTTTCTGTGCCAGCCTGGTTAAATAATGAACACTTTAAAACAATTTGCATGCCCCATAGTACAATCTCTCTTATTTTCATTTTGAGAGATAAGGAAAATCAATCTGTTGTGTGCTCATCTCTATTTTTTAACCAACAAGGGAAATACAAGTGCTTGTCTCCCAAAGTAAAAACCAGAAACAAACTTCCATCTCTTTCTCTAATGAGATAATAAGATATGTTGGGTAGGAGAGGCCAAAAATTCGTTTGAGAGGACCTTGCAGTGTGTCTTCTCAGAGACTAGACATTGAGAGCCCGCAGCACAACACAAATAGGGACAAGCCCTTACGTGTTTTTGTAGTCTATTTCTCGAGGCGAACTTTGAATTCCTGTGGAGGCCAAGTGTTATCGGGACTCAAGGAAAGGTACTCTTGTTTATAAGTTCTGGGTTACAATGTAAAGGAAAAAGAGCCAGATAAGCACTGTCCTCACCACTTATGATGTCTCTTGTTACAGAACAGAGTGAAACTGCTTGAAACGATAACCAAGGAACATGAGCAGTACAGCGCCAATGTCAACCAGTTTCAATCGTGGCTGAATGGGGTGACAGAAAGATTAAACTGCTGCATTGGAGAAGCAACCAAGGCTTCAACAGAGGACAAGTTAAAGGCACTGAAGGTCCTTGAACAATATAACTCTAACAAGGAGTTAGGATTGTGTGTTTGTCATGACTGTATGTGTTGCTTGAACCGCACAAGGGTGTACTTGAGAAAAGAATTACATGAACTAAATAAGATGGTGATTTTAACATGGGCTAGGGCAGAAGAGTTGTATCAGGTCCTAAAACTTGTGGTACATATGGTTCTCCCAGCTGTAGCATGAGTCACAAAGTGGTCTGTTTGGTTTTTCTAAAACCTGATCTCCTACAGTTATGTGATTCTTTGAAAATATTTTCCTCTAAACTTGTTTAAATAAATAGTATTTGGTAAACATGATCCAAATAGACCCTAAAAGTTCACAGGTTTTGAGAGTTTAGAGCTGGTGATGAAAATACCAGTTTTGAGAACAATATCCATTATTTTGGTACCACTGCTTCAACTGTTTAGCTTAAAAATCTCTAACTATTAATATTTCTCTAGTGTCTGCAGCTCCTGTTTTCTTTGTCAGGGACCTCAGGTGACAAGCATTTATGAAAGTCAAGCCAAAATTTTCAGAATCATGGCAGTTATTATTACTCAGAAGTCAGTCAAATGATCAATCTTGGCTTCTGGTCACTTGAAAAAAGATATATTTTGAAATAAGAAATGAAGAACAAAATACATATAACCAGGAGAAGTGGTCTTTTTTCCTACTGCTTTCCTTTTTCCCCAACTTCTCATTCCTGCAGATAATCTTTATGTAACTTATTTTTGCAGGAAATTGCAAAAAACATTAGGAGTGGTGGAAAAAAATGGAAGCACCTTGAAAATCAGTGTGCAGAGGTGATTGAGAATACCTCTCCACTCGGAGCTGCAAGATTGAAGGATGAACTTGAAAAGCTAAGAAAAGCCTTGGAGAAGTTGAAAGTGCTAAGTAGTGAGGAGGAGGAGAGATTGCTCAAGATCCAGCAGTCAGAAAGTGCCTATGAGTACCAAGCCAGACAATTAGAAGCAGACATCCAGGAGCTGAGAAAAGATCTACAGAGACTAGAAAATGACTTGGACCCTGGGGAAGGGGAAAAGACTGAAGATGAGCTTGTAGCTCTGTGGAGAAAATGCAATGTAAGTTGTTACCCTTCGTTCAGAGGATCAAGCGCAACCGTAGACTGAGCATTTATAGTCATATTCAACAGGTGCCTGTCCCATTGGTTAAAGGTGGTAAGGAAGGAGTATGAGTGTTCATGAAACAGGCTGAGGAAAATGTGACTTAACAACAGTGGAATCAACTGCCCCAACCTTCATCTCATGCTGCACAGAGGGAGCAGGGTTGGAGGATGTGTTGAGGTTTGTGTCTAGAGTTCAAAGGGACCATATGCAAAAACAGCATAATACAGAGCAAACAACACAATTTGTTCCACTTAAAAAGAAGGAAATTAATGCCTCACTGTATATATAAATACATACAAACATGCACAGACATAAATAAACACATTTCTGAGGTATTTGATAAGACCATTTCTACATTATATCCTTCATCTGTATAAGATGGGTATCTGTATTCCTTTACTGGCAGACTTATCATCATGACTAAGAAGTCCCAAGATTGCAACAATCCAGTATTTACACCAAAATCAATCTGTTGCAAAAAATGAGTGCAAAAAAATTCATCACACATAAAGTAGCTAAGAATCTTTACAAGTCATTTCCTCTCAAGGAGCTGGTTTTGCATTTATTATCTGTTCTCAAAATGCCTTTCATTGCTGTTTGTGTGTCTAGAATTCAGCAGGACTAGCTGGGAAAAGTATATGCAAAAAGGATCCACAAAATCTGGACTGGTTCAATCCAGCTCCATTTGCATGAGTTTTAGCTGTTTTGTTTCCCTGAGTCACCCTAGAATTAACATTCTGCATATGTGAGTCTTTCAGAAGAATCTGTTCATGCAAATAGATGCTGTTAAGACTGCTCCAAAAATGCATCTCATGTTATGTACTACAGTCAGCAAACTGAAACTGGGCCTGCTTGTGATTCCCTCTGTTTAAACAGTGAACCCTGCAGATCAGATGCAGAGTCTGGGCAGTGTGAGGAGAGGAGAGGAGAGAGCCTGCTGGAACAAAACTGTTCCTGATAATGTTTTCTGTCTTAGCAAAGTCCACACATTCCTTACCACTAGGAAAAAAAACAACACTGAAAGGGGACTTGTACATACCCTGAGAGACAGCCTTACTTCTTCATTTCATGTGCCAGACACTACTTAAGGTGTAATTTGTTCATTATTTTTATGACTAAGGCAACAAGAGCTGCTCTATCTGCAGAAGAGTCGAAGGTTGAGAGGCTGAAGGCTGAGCTTAAGGAACTGCTACGGTTTTCCCAAGATGTGCAGCCACACGCTGAGAGCGTTGTCTCTGCAATACAGCAGTATCAAAGGTACTGGGAAGTCTGATTATGGGTTGGGGATGGGGGGAGTCTTCTCTCAGACATTGAAGGGATTGACAGGGGCCTAAGAAAAAAGTGATATGCCATCCAGTTGTACGTGATGGGTAGAAATGAAAAGCCTTTGCTAATTACATCCGCCTCTGTGTTTCAGTAAAGCTGTAATTTCAGCCGTTTGCTAGGAGCTGTAGGCTGCTGGTCATTTTCAAGCAGTGATCTTGCCTCATTAAAGTTGTGTATGGTTTGAAGAAAATTAGATTGTTGGCAGCTAATTTGATCTGATTAGCATTTTATAATAATAATTTATGTATTTTGCTTGTCTTTCATGACAGCAACTAGAAAATCAGGACAGGAGCTGTGGTAGTAAACGGTTCAGAAGAATTATGGCCCTCCCTTGTTGAGTTTGTTGTGGTGACTCATCAGCCTTAGGAATTATTTGGCAGAGCTTATTCTCCTTCTCCTGGCAGCTTATGTGCACGTTCCTGTTTTCAACTTGCCTTGGGTTGGAAACTCTGCAAGTTTAGCCTCTCCCCAGACTTCAGTGTTTCCGTTTCCAGGCTGCCTGGAATCAGGAAGTAAAGAAGCTGCAGCAAATTTGCAAACTAGAAGAAAGGATCTTTTTTTTTAAGGGGAAAAAAAAAGGTCAGTTCTTTTCCTGTATCCAAGCTTATTTCCCTCTGTCCAGTGCGCAGTATGCTGTCCTGCTGAAAGGGTTCTAGGTCATTAAGGTAAAGGATTTCAGTTTAAAAACTAACAAAGAGGAGCAGAGAAGGCAGGGGACTTGTCTCTTAGTAGAAAATGGCAGCTGCTCTTTTGCCAGCTTCTCTCCAAAGCTTCTTTGGGAAGTCTGGCAGCTTCACACTGAGCCTGGCAGGGGCAGCAGAGCAAATGGCAGAGGACGTGTAAAGTCGAGACTTTCTATTTGCGGAGCTTTTGGCCTCTGCAATCTTGCCTTTGTTTAGCTCCGTCATGTCCCAGTGACACAGGTAAGATTTTTGTTTCTGTTTTTATAGAAAGGCAGTATTGATCCTGATTGGCACTGCTCTCACCTGCCTGTCTTGTGAGTTTGCAGGATACTGTTCCCATATGAATATAGAGTTTGGGCTGTGTTTTGTCATTTCAGACAGGATTCTGCAGTCTGGGAGGTCAGGAAAACTGAGAAAAACAGGAGGCAGCTGCACAGGGTGTGTCACTGCTGGGCCTTGTTACTCAACCGTGTCTTGGATAAGCCTTTAAAGAGAAGCCTGGATATTTATTGAATGCTTGCTGATTTTAACTTTTTTTCAATATATATACACACACTTAATATAGCTGTGCATATATGTGGGTACATATTCATAAATACAGAGCTTTAATCAGAATCACCTATTATATGTATTAATATAAGTTCAAGTGGTTCTGCAAAATTTTAAAAAGTGTCTGAAATAAAAATGTATTTTTCACATTTTTGTGGGTAACATAGGTTGATCAAAGACTTCTTAATGTAATTTTTTTAAAGGAACAAAGACTCTGTAATATGTAAAACAATACAGGCAACTGCAGTTACTTTCTGACCCTCTTAGCTTGTTCCTTCCCTCAGTAAGTTTGACTGCTCCAATAATATGATTTGTTACATCACCCTGGTGATAGCAGCCAAGAACGATCAAATACAAGGGTAGACTGCTGGCTACTAGAAAGGCAAAGTGTAATTCCTGATACACAGTTGCACAAGAGACAAATGTGTCTTACGGTATCTAAATAAAGTTTTGTCAGATGTCTTTGACTGACAGAGCAGCTGTTGGTGTGCAACACCAGGCGCAGACAGTAAAAAAGACTGAGGCTTTTGTGTTGGGTGTGGTTTACACCCGAGTATTGTGTTAATTCATGCCTTGGTGAATAGGATGTTTGGGCTTGGATTTCTTCATAATCCTTCTCTCGGTTGTCACTTTATCCTTGCAGTGTAAAAGGCAAGACTTCTAAAATGAGCACTGATACAGAAACTCAACTGGGAAGACTCTTCCAAAATCCTCTGCAAAATTTTGAACAGTGGAAGCCATCGGTCCAGATGCTCCTGGAGACTCCAGAGCCAGCACTGGCTCACATTGAGGTAGCAAACCTGTTACTAAGTTCAGAAAGGATACTTGGTTTGTGTTTGACCAAGCCTGCACAGAGCTGCCAGTCAGCTGCAGCTGGAAGGGTCTTTCCAGTATGGCAGGAAAACCCACAGTACAGATGGAGGTCTTTAGTTAGTTCTGGCTGTAGCACGTTGTCTTACTTTCTGCCCTCCATTTGTTTATCTGGATTTGTCAGCTGAGTAGGCTGCATTAAAGTGTTAGATATCTTTGACAGTGATGACAATATTGTTTAGCATTAGGCCAGATCTCCCCAGATGGGAAGTCTGTAGACTCTGTTAAAAACTGTGTAGTGATATAGTCATGGGATTATAATCCACGATTTCTGCATGTGCCCAGCAAGGTGTGTTTGTTATTTTGTCATCCCTGTGATCTTCAGACTAAATGTGTCTGTGAACAGGGATGGAATTTATCCTCAGGATGAGCATTCAAGCTGTCCTTTCTGTTGGTTGTTTAGGCCTCTCCTCTGCACAGACAACTCTTTCCATAGTACAGCTTTCCTCTATTTCTGTTCACAAAATGGATGCAGCCCTGGTGCCTCTAACATTATCAGGAAGACTTTTCCTTTAACTGGGCACTGTCCAGGTACCTTCTGTTACCCCTTGTTGGCCCAGCATGCTCTTTTTACTTGACTTTGTCATACTGCTTTGGTTGTGTGACTTGTGTGAGAATAATGATTATATGGTTTTTATTTTATTTTTATTTTTTTGTGTAAGATTTCACTAGAAGGATTTTTCTCCTTTAGGCTGCTCTAGTTGAAAGCTCCCAGTTCAAAGAGAAGTTCATGACATTACAGCTGAAGAAAGATTTGCTAAACAATGTCCTCGGTGAGGAAAAAGCAGAGTCTTTCCTTCAAGAAGTAGCTGAAGCTTCAAAAGAGAGAGAAATTCTACACAAAAGTCTGCTGCAAAGCAAGAGCAAACTCCAGGTGAACTACAAAACCCATATACTGTCTTTGCCTGTGACAAAGACAATGGTCAATTCTTTACTAAGCCAGTTTTACAGATATAAATTTAGTACTAACCAGCCCAATCCCTTTTTCTGGATTGATCAAATATTCAAATAAATATGTTGTCTGTTGCGTAGTGTAGCTTGGTGTTTGTTCTGAACATGAGGTGGACATCGACAAAAGATAACGCCAAGGGATATGTGTTGAGTTCTGGATCTATTTTCTTCTTTCTCCTCTTAGAATTTGATATTGCAGCATAAGAACTTTGATGCTGGTTTTGCACCCTTGCAGAAGAAATTATCTGCCATCAAAGCCAAATTAGATCTAGAGAAGGAATCACGACCTGACCTCTTGGGTAAAAAGACACAGCTCCAGAGACTCCAGGTATATTACAGTCTTGTTTGTCTATGTGATCCTCAACTAATTGCAGTCTTGTTTGTTTATATTGTCATATTTTATTAGCATTAGGAATTCAGTACCTGTTGCTTCAATTGATTGTGTGTTAGATAATTTCATTTGGTCTGGTTTATATCATGGAGTAAATGAAATTAAAGCAAGGTAGATGAAGCACTGGCAAACTGAACTTGAGGGAAGGAACAAGCAGCTGGAAGCTGTTAGTAGCACACTTTCTTGGGCTAGTTTTATTGCTAAAGAAAATGTATGGTGATACTTTCCACTGAGAGTGAAACTGCACAAGATAACCTGAACCAATCTAACTTCCTCCAGAAGAGTTCCTATTGTTCCGCCTCCTTTTGCATCACCCCCCTTTCTGCTCTTTACCTTGTCACAACTTTGACAAATGCTGGACTTACTCCATGGACTGATTCATCTGACCAAGATAAGAACAAAAATAATCAACAGCAAAAAAAAATCATAATTTTCCTTTTGGTTAGTGTTTTGAACTGGCTCAGTGAAGGGTCCAAGATGCAGAGCCAGTTCAAGGCATGCAGTGGGATTCCATACCTGGGAGAGAGGAGAGAAGAGCAGGAGGGGAAGAGAGGAGGGGTGACTCTGCCATGGTGAGTTGTGGTGATCCAGAGATACTGTGTCACTTCGTCCTTGGTGACCCCAGGGCTGTTATCACCATGGCTCTTTGTAGTACTTAGCTGGTTATACTGTGTATCCTTTGGCAGCTTCTCAGCAACTTAACTTCTTTATTATCTGCTGAAAACATGTAAGGACATCCAACCACTTTTTTGAGAAACATTTACTGACACCAAAACAACTAATTTTCTTAATTGCAGTGATTGCTGCTGGGTTTTTTTATCCTCACACTGTCAAATGAAGCCACCTTTAGTATATGTTTTGTGGGGTTTATGTTTTGGAGGTCCATGCCATATCTAGCACAATACCCATATAGAATCTATCTTTTCCTCTGCAGATGATCCAAGATGACTTGGCAGAACTTGCGATTCACATGGAGGAGGTAGAGAAGCTTGTTCAGTCAAATACCACACACAGGCATGAAATGAACCAACTTTCATCTGACTTTCAGGCCCTGAAAAGATCACTGGAGGTAACATAAACAAGAGTTCTGGTTGCCTGAGGAGTTGTCAGTTGCCACTATTTTAAAATATTTTAAAAATCTTTGAGCATAGGACATTAAATGCTTTGACTGACAGATACTTTCATTTCAGGGGAAGAAGGCACTGAATTCTTATGACTTTGGTAACTCTTCCAGGATTCCCTGATCATCTGTCACGTGATTTGCCTTTGGGATAGGATACCATGCACACAGATTTTATGGCTCTATAAATTATTTCTGAAGCAGGCCTGAGACTTCTAACCAAAGCACCTCATAGTTATATTATCATGGTGGTGCTTGTACTGCACAGATTCCTGGATAGGGTTTTGTACCAAAGTGTTTGATTTTTTTATAGCTTTGCGACCTAAGAGTTGATGAGAGAAAAGTGCTACAATTGCATAAACACTTGTTTTGTCCTGAGACAATTTGTAGCTTGTAAACATAGCTATAAACTGACCTTCTAAGCAGTCTCAGAAGAAGAGCTTATTAAATTACCTTAGTTATACAATTCACTATAAAATTACATATGTTTAAGTGCTACCCAAATATGCACTGTGGAATTCTAGTTTCAATCTGAATAATCCCATTTATCACTGAACTGGCCTTTTGCCAGAAAAGGCTGTGCAGTCATTTCTGATTCAGGGAGTCTAAGATGCATTTGATACTGACTGGGGTACAAAAAACCCAAACATGCATATATTCTATATATCTGTTTCATCTGAGAAGGAATGGAGCTATTGTAGTTCTTAATGCCCCCCCGTGTGGTTGAATTCAGGCCTGCAGGAGCTTGAAAGGTGTTTTCCTCACCACTGATGCCAAAGGACAGGTTTTTGTCTCTCATTACCAGCTGTTTTTTTCCTTTTCACCCATGAGATTCTGTGCCCATCATAGTGTCAGACCCAGTAAAGACTCTTCTTTTTGTCTGTCTTTAGTTGCTGACATATTTTTATCATTTATAGGTGATGATACAGCAGAGTGAGGATCATGTTCAGAAGCACTGGGCATATAATGACAAACTGTCAGACCTCCAGCAGTGGATCGCAGTAACCACGGAGAAGATTGATTCCTACCAGGACGCTGATGGAGAGCAGAACATCGAGGGCAGGGTAGAAGACCTTGAGGTGAGAGAGGCATCTTAATTTAAGATGTTAATTATTCACTTTGCAGCATTCAGACATTAAGGGTTGGGCTTTCTAGTGAGGATTTCCTCGTTTGGGACAGTAATGATGGTTTGTTCCTCCTGTGATAACTATTGGTTGCTGCTGCCTCCCTGCTTTGCCCTCTGTTGTGGGGTGTGGAGCTAGGTAAAAGACAAGAGCAATGAAAAATGGCTAAAACTGTTGAGATGGATAAAATATTATCAAAGGATAGGTGGTTTTAAAAAGAGCTGTCAGGGTGATCTCCCGGACAATGCCTGCCTTTGCCTGTATGTACGCATTGATGCATTGAATATTGCTGCTATTTTAGCTAGCCTTAGACTTTGTTGAACTGAGCTGTTCCAAAGCTGCCAGCTTTTCCCTGGATAGCAGTACTTTGCATGCTAGAGTCGCTCTGGTAGGTTACTTCAGCTGGCAGCTTTTGCCTTCCTATGGGAAACCAAAAGATCCCATGGGAAGGTTACAGAAGGAGGTGCACTGACAACTTGCACCCTTTAAGTTTTGCCATCAGCTTTTTGACCTGCACTGGCTCTTTGCAAGAATCCACAGCATATTTTTTTTCTCGCTAGGTATGTTCTAGCTAGTGCCAACAGAACCAGCATAGTCCTGGACTGAACATGGCCTTCAGTCTGACATAGCCTCTGCTTTACCCAGGATACCTAGAAGTAATTGTAAGGCTGTGCGTTTCAGAGATGGCTAGCTGAGTTTCCAGATAAGGAGATCCAGCTGCACCTTGTGGAAGCTCATGGCCAGCTGGTCATGGAGAATTCTTCTCCAGAGGAGACTGCCCATGTCCAGGCAGAGCTGGATCAGCTGAAGGAGTCGTGGAAATCACTTAAGGAGATGGCAACTGGGTAAGTGTTCGTGTAGATCTTCCTCATGTCCCTTCCACAGGATGCTCTTTACTGCTACATGACCAGACACACTTGATGCCTTATGCTTTGTGCTGTGAAAGTGAACAGACATGTTACAATGCCAGAAGCAGGATGAGATTTTATTTAATAGTTTGTAAACTGAAAATCGTTACTTTCAAGAAAACTATTTTAGAGAATCCATGAACCAGGGTCTTTGAATCTGCCTTTATCTCATGCTTGGAGTAGGCAGTGAACTCTTAGGACCTGGCTCACCTTTGTACTGCCACTCCATGTTGGAGGAAATTGGGCATAAACTAAGTGACATCTGCTGTTCTGTCTCACCTCCTGTTCTCCTTGCTTTCTGATCTTGAGATACCTTCAAGGAGGGTATATCTGCAATGGGACTTGGGCCTTTTGCAAACCTGCAGAAGTATAAGCAGAGCTAAAATCCTCTCTTAGCTGGGAAATAAAGACTTAATTTATTTTGCCTCCACTGTGCAGTGTCAAACTACTGCTCATATTTGCTAGTCTGTATTAAAATTTAATACCTTGCTGCATGTGTGATTATATTTGTATATAGTGTCAAAATAGGCATAAAAATAAAATTACTTAATTAAGGAAGGCTTGATTGTAGTGCCTCCTGTTTCTAGAAAGGAAGATGTATTGTCGAGGTAATGCTTTTATTCCCCTGAATAAAAGAAAACAAAACAATACAGTTAGAAATGTTAGAATTAGAAATGCTGCTTTGAGACACTCCTGTCTCACTCTTATTTTGCTCAAAAGATGTTGGGAATAACTGTAATAGTAATAGTTCTAGTAATAGTAATAACAGTATAATAATAACAATAGTGCTGTTTCACCAGAGCTGTCCTCCATAGCCCCAGTCAAAATATGAATGTCTTATCATTAGATGTTCCACTGCACTGATGTCTCTGGTTTTGTGTTTTTAAGTCTTCTCAAAAAATGGCAGTTAGATAGACCAGTGGCTGATAAGAAGAAGAAAAGAGCACTTACGGACAGCAGATGGATGTCTAGACCTGCCTTCCGTCTTTTAGATGTAGATCCCAACCATAAGCAGGTGAGATGGGGACTCTGTATCTGCCTTCATATCAGCTTCACAAGAACAATTTTATTGCCTGCATCTGATATTATGGGTTACAAAGTTGGAGGTTAAGATGTTGCAATCAGGCCTTCAGAGGAAACATCTGACATAATGGTATAGGTGGGGTTTTTTTGCTATTGTTCTGTAACCTAGGAGAAGATGGGAGAAAGGCAAAACACAAGCAGCCACTGGAAGCTCCTACACAACTTCGAAGAGTGGCTACGAGGAGAAAACATTGAACTGGCCAAAATTCTTGATGGGACTCCATCTTCCACAGAGGAAATTAAGGCACATCAGAGAAAACTTGAGGTTAGTGTTCAGGGGGTGAAGAGGGAGACAAAGATTGCAATAGGTGCAAGTTCTTTCAGAATTAAAAAAACCAACAACCAAACCCAAACAGCAACAACCAAAAATCCCCAAACCACTTCACCAACTAAACGACCACCCATCCACCCCCACCCCAAACACCTAAAAAATCCCCAAAGAACAAACAGACAAAAAATTCAGACACTCTACTCTCTGCTTTAGAAGACTCTAGAGTAGATGAAGCTCAGAAACATAAGACAAATTTCATCCCTTCTACTAAGAAAGGTCTGCCAGAGCCAGAGTGTTAAAAGGCAAGGGAGCACCTGGCATCTAGCTGTCAGACTGGAAATTTCCAGTGTGGGATGGTAAAGGTGTTCATTAAAAGAAGCTGATTAAAATCAGTGTCTGGTATTTGGCCTCACTCTGAGTATGGCCAGATGCAATGGCAATGGAAGCTGTAAGAAATATAATAAACAGAAATATCCAAGGCTACAGGAGTCCTGCAGATTAATCTTTGATATCATTCCAGATCAAAAAAAGCAATAACAAAATAAATGTGCTATTCCAGAGTACCCAGTAGTTTGATTTAGTACCACTGGTTTTTGGAATGCTAGTTTAAAAATTGAGGCCTTCTATAATTCTGAGTTGCTGCTGACCTTGTCTTTGCCTGCAGGAGCTGCAGTCTCATGTGCCTGATGGTCAGCGTCAATTTGAGGATCTTCTTCACCTTCATTCTGTCACTGGAGATTCTGAGGATCTGGAGGACCTGCGTTACCGATGGATGCTCTACAAATCTAAACTGAAAGAGTCCATGAGTTTGCCAGTAGGTGACAATTTGCAATTCACTGGTGACCTCTGCCATTACTCTTTCATGTTGCTTCATGTTGCTAGTCTTAATTCAACATTGCATATGTTAATTAAAGGAGTAGTGTGCTATCTTTTTCCCTTTGTAAACAATGCTCAAAATGTTTCTCAGAATGGAAGATTCAAAACAGAATGACAACTGGCTGTTGTCAAAGAAGGATGAAGTTTGGGACTGAGAGATATTTGTGTGTGGGAATAGTTTGGATATATGCCTAGTTCTAGGCACATGAATTTCTATCTTTTTGCCCTTTCTCCACACAACATTCTCTATTGATTTTTTGTTTTGACAGTTCCTGCAGTAAGAATATATTTGCTGTTCATTATTTGTGTCTCCTGCTGTGAGACTGATCAGAATAGTTACTAACTCAAAGTAACTGTGCACAGAAGGACCTAGTCCTTTTTGAAACTGTCTTTATGGGTTAATGATTTGGAATGAAATAAAGAGGAGGTATTTAAGTGCAAGAACCAAATTATTAAAGAAGTTACCGAGTTCTTATGTATAAGACATGCTAAGGATAGCAGAATTCATACCCATATATAAGATGTTCCAGGGTATGCTAAAGGTATTCCCATGTTCTTAGCATAAACACATATAATTATTAATTAATACTTTTCTAGCTTAACTACTCACATTTTGTGCTCAACTTCAAACTACCATAATCAGAGGATTAGAATTTACAGGTTTGCATACCTTCTGTATGCAAGTGCTTTGAAAGGTATCTGAACTCAAACACCTAAAATCTGAGGCATTTGAAAAATGTCTGCCTTGGGAAACCTTGTCTTCAAATCCAGAGATTGTTTAGAACACAAATCCTTTGAACTACTTGGAAGGTAAACACAACCTCTGTCAATAAAGAGTATATTCCTAAGAATTGTTTGCCATTGACTGTAATGACTTACACTTTGTTAACCAAAACCTTCTGTGAGCATAAATGTGGTCAATAGGTGTCAGTAAAGTCAAAGCAATTGCTGGGAGAACTGTTCATCGGATTCAAATAGTCAAGAACCTCAAAACATGTCATCTCTCTGCCTAAGGTGTATTAGAAAGCTCATTAAAAAAAAATCTCCTGCTGGTTCACTGTATCCAGGTGAACATGAACTCGAAAGAAACATCCCCTGTGAGGTGAATACTCATTTATAGGCTCCACTGGGATCTTAAATTTATGCTTCTCTTTTTTTATGCTGCCTTTTTTTTTTTTTTTTTTTAAACAGATTCCTGGATCTTGGGAAGAACCAGACAGGTTCAGAAAGGTATGACACTTTCCTATCATTAGCTAAAATGTTCAATCAGATGTTTTGCAGAAAATTACGTTAAAGTTTTCTAAAGATTTTTGAGATTAATTTGCTTATTAAGAGCCACTCTTAAAGCAGTTGTTTATTTTCTCCAGATTTCAAGAGGAAAGAAGTTAGAGTTTTTACTCTTGAACTATGCTTACTGAGTCTCTAGAAGCTAAATATCCATCTCCTAGAAGAGGAGGGGAATTCAATTCTTATATATCTACATGCTATATGAACTTAATTCATTTTTCAAAACAGACTAAGGAAGAACCTAAATATCTCTCTGAAGGATTTAAGGGATAAATGTCTAAAATAATTTTGAAAATGTGATTCCTAGTTCTTTAGATACTTGTGAAAAAAAAGCTTTGCATCATTCAGCCCACCTTCTTTCTAATGCAGAAAACCAGAGAAAGGCAAGAGATTTGTCTAATGTTATTGGACTAAATCCTTATTCTAAGCAGCAGAATTCCTCCTGTGAAGGATTTTCTTTTCAAAGTGATGACATAAGAAACAGAAGCAGTACAGGAGATGATAAGGAGAAACTTAAAGAAAACAAAACACTGCCAGTTTCTTATTAAACCAAGCAGCACTTCTGATCCCATTTTTAAAAAGTCAGCAAGTTTTTCTGTTGAACAGTGTTGAACTGAGTCTTTTCTCTCTGTCACAATTTGCTTTGTTTACAGACGCTATTAGATTCTACTTTGTACTGTCATCTCACTTTCCATTTGTTTTCTGAAGGGATAGAATAAAGCTTTGTTTACCCAACATGAAGTAGATTGAATGAATAATGTGTCACAGGAACATAATCACATAGTCATTTTAAGCTAAATCAAACCCTCAATTTCTCCTGTTGCAACATCTCTTTAGAAGAGAGCAATATTTAAAGGGTGAAATACAGTATATTCTAGTGATGGCCAGAAAGCAAGGTTTTCCTCATTCAAATGAGATATTCCTCTGATACTCAAATGTGGAGTAGCATCTCCAGTATTTTTCCCCAGCAAAATACTGAGCAGTTTTAAGGTAATTTTTACATGTTTCCTGAATAGTTTTGGCCTCAGTTCAGCCTTCCTGAAAACCCCCAAAGAGTTTCTGTTCTTGCCTGGCTGGCTCAGCATTAATTGTTTCACTCAGCAAGGTCACCAGAATTTTTCAGGCTGGAAAAACAATATGACACTTTAATACTTGGTGTAGAGGCAGCCAAACATTGAGTAGTGCTGCTTTTCCCTAGAAGAGGTCTAAAGGGATATTCCAGAAGACTGACCGAGGAATTCTCTCGTTTCATATTATTTGGTTGAGTCAAGTTGGTTATAGTGAAAAACAAACCAAAAGCTTGAGGCATAAGCACATCTCCACTACAGTCGAATGTCATTTTTTAATTCATCTGCCTCACCTGCCTCCGGGTACATGGCATTTATTAATCCTTAAATTCTCTAAATTAGACTAAATTCTTCAGTTAATTTTCAAGGATACTGCAATAACATAATGTCAGGCAGCAAACGTTTGTCAATTAGTCCTACAGCAAGAGCACAAAAAACACATTCTGTGAGTTTTTAATAGCTACTGAACACAAACAAAGAGGAACAGCTCAGGGTGGGAAGGAATGAAGAACTGAAATACCTCATAAGCATGGGGGAAATGGCTCCCATTGCACCAACAAGTGATTTGCAGTTTCCCTTCAGCCTGCACAGATGTTGTGCTAACTTAGACCCTGATCACTTCAGGGAGATTTTGCTGACTTCAGAGCTTTCATTCTGTGTTTAAACAGTGTCACTACAAAGTGCTGTAAGCAGAGGTGTCTATTTTTTTTCTCTTTCATTCAGGCTAAGGGTTTTATAAGGATGTGAGCTTGTGTTGCTGTAAGATTGTTGAGCACCACTTAGGAGAGCCAGAAAATAATGTTGATTCCTTTTGGGTGCATCACTGTTTGGGCTAAGAGAAGAGGAAAAGCAAGCCAACTGCAGAATTCATGGCTTTGCAGTTCACTTTAAATTCAGATTTAACACCTAAAGTGGTGCTAGAAATGAAAGTAAGTTTAGGCAAAATATTTTTGTATTCATGAATATCCTTTCAAAGCCATGGTGAAGGAAACCAACTACCCTGAGAAAACAGCTGATCTCAGAGTTACTATCTGCAGAAACTGCACATGGTTGGGAGCTGCATCACTGTGCTTGCAACATCTAATGAGTTTGCATGCAGTAAGGTCAGGTTGTCTCTAATTTGTCAGCTCCTTTGTGCTTTTGAGCCACACAAAATCAGTAGAAGTGTCAGAATTTCAGGTGGTTCTGAACTGTTCTCTGCTTTTTGCAACACAAGATCCCCAGTGACTCTGCTCATCTCTCCTGTTTGAGCTGTGAATATTTTGCAGCAGCAGCAGATCAGTCTGGAAAAGCAGAAGACCCAGTTGCAACCAGTCTCAATCCACTGAGTTCCAATTTTATTCCATTTCTAGCCTACATGGCAGAATAGAGCCTGTTCCATGTATAATAATGTGCTTTTTTCCTGATCATTCATCCACTGCTGAGGACATGCCCCCAGCCACTGGTGCCCTTAGGAGCAGTACAAGCTAATGATTGCGATGTGAGCAACTTCTTGTTGATTAACTAAAAACATTTGCAGGAAATTGCACTGGCTGCAGTGAATTTTTAGCAGGTGCCAGTGACAGGGCAATGTAGATGGATATTTCTGCAGGGTACCTAGCACACTCAGGAACATAATCGAGCAAATGCTCAATAATAACTATGATAAATGTTACTTTCAAAGGTTGGCTCCCAGCTACCTGAAAATATTCCACGAGCATTTTTAGCATAAATAGGAAGTCAAAGCCTCATTATTTACAGGTCTATGTAGCACTGTTTGATTTATTTTCCTGAGTGCTCAGGGTAATTACCCTTCCTTGCTAAACAAACGACCTGGCTTTATTGTTTGTACAAACAAAATAATTAGAATTCATTACATCAGTGGTCAGCTAATTGCTTCCTTTGAGATTCTGCTAAGAGTAATCTCCTATAACAAACAGACAGAAGGAACATGTAATTTAATCTTGTTTAGAGACACCACTGATCTGGAGTCAATCAAATTAATGCAGTCATTCAGGAAACTGTGCAAAGTAAGAGCTGCCACAGCTTGCCAGGAAGAACACACTAGTGTGTGCTCTGCTCTGCCCAAGTGCAGATATGACAGGAGTTCCTCATGGCAGAAAGTCACACTACAGAAAAGCACAGCGTGGTGAATTAGTGCCTCTCTATTGAAAGTGTGACCCATTTGTTTTCCTGAAGTCCTGCTAGGTGTTAGCTACTTGAAATCTATGCAATTACATTCTCATTAAAATTAAAAAGACATTAAAAGGTATCTTTCCCTCAGTTTTCAAGACCTGTTTTATAGGTACAGATAATCTTTTTTTTTTTTTCATCTCTGAGCCTGTAAGCCTGTGCTTGCCTTTTTTAGGAATTATACCATGACCTAAACACAGTATGAAGGGTATCTTAGTGCTAAAAATTAGCAGGTAGACTTATTTTCTCTCAACAGTGATGTTTGTTTAGAAGGAAACTTACCAAAAAAAAAAAATCCGTGACAATCCTGACTGCCTCTTCCTGACTGACCCACTCCTAAGTATGCTGAGCCAGGCAGCAGCATCCCCTCCTTTTTCCAGCAGGCTCACAAGCTTCCCTTCATGTTTCTGCACCTGTGAGACTCCCTGCCTGTCTGCTCTTATTTCTGTAGGTTTCAGTTGTTTACCAACTTACATTACAGAATTCCCAAATGTTAGGGGCTCTTTGTTGTTTGTCTGGTCCTGCCACATCTGTGCCTTGCCAATGCTCTCTCTCTACAGTAGTGACGGTGCATGGTGGTGAAGACATCTCGCTTCCCAGGACACCTGGTTCTTACTCTCCTTTCAGAGATGTGTCCTTTTGTGGCCTGCCATGTTGTGAAGTATTTGTAGATTTTCACCAAGGAGATAGCTCAGAATGGTCTTCTCAGCAGATATAATTTTACCTCCTAACTGAAAGGTAGTAAGAGAGAGAAATTTGCTGAGCAATAGCATAATGCAACCAATTTTCAGTATCTTCCTGAAAAATGTTTTTAACACTACTGTAAAAAAGCATGGTAAGAAAAACTCTTCAAATTGTTACCTCAAATTGTATTAGTTTTTGAAAAGTAAGCCATCACATTTTTGAATTATTTAAATAAAATGCAAACATTATTCAAATTATGTATAATGACTTCTGAAATTCAAGAAAAGTTTGATCTTGACTTGAGAGAAGTCAGTGGTAAAGCAGCTGGAAACATACATTGTTGACATCATAAACTAGCTTTTGATGTCAGTAACTTCTACAAGTTCCAGAACATTTTGTCTTTGTTTCAATTTTTATTCTTTCTACACTCATTTTAGTTAGTTTTATTTCAGCTTGCAAGGATGAGTGGAAGCTGGAAATTGGGAGAAGTTGCTTTACTTTTCTGCCTTCCTGAATACTTGCAGAAATCTGAAGTTTCCTACTAAATTTCAGATATACTGATTAAAATGTCATCCAGCTACCAGCTGCTGAAAACTCTCCTAAAAGTAGTACAGCATTGCCCTTAAAACACACAGCAGTGCCGATGGCAAGTTTAATATGAGTCAGCAGTGCCCTGGCAGCCAGGAGGGCCAACCATGTCCTGGGGGCATCAGGCAAAGCATCACCAGGTGGTCGAGGGAGGGGATTGCCCTGCTCTGCTCTGCACTGGGGCAGCCTCACCTTGAATATTGGGTGCAGGTTTGGATGCCACAATATAAGAAAGACATTAAGCTATTAGAGAGCACCCAAAGGAGTGCAACGAAGATGGTGAAGGGCCTTGAGGAGAAGCCGTGTGAGGAGTGGCTGAGAGTACTTGATCTGTTCAGCCTGGAGAAGAGAAGACTGAGGGGAAACCTTGCTGCAGTCATAACTTCCTCATGAGGAGAAAGGCAGAGTCAGACACTGATCTCTTTTCTATGG